TTCTTTTTGGTATTTGTATATAAAATAATATGTCATAATAAATAATTTTAGTTGCTGAGGAAGTCTCAAATAGAGACGAAACGTTCAACGGATAAATATWGTGTTCATCTTAATTAAACCCGTCCAAAAAACAACTTCCCTAAGAGTAAACTTAGTAATTATTAAATATGTTATATTACATTTTGACGATGAACTTTTATTTCAGAAATTGTCAAAGTTGAGGAAGAAATATTGTTGACTGATGATACTTCTCAAATCATAATTGGTAATTATTATATCCTAATTGTAACAATAATTTGCAATTTTGTCAAGCTAATGTATGTACTATAACTATTTATTGTAGACACAGATGGTACTGAGAAAGAAGTTGTAATAACTACAGAAGATGAATCCGGTAATGTAACAGGTATGTTTACGTATATTATGTATGTGTATGTATGTATGTATAGATATTATCATTAATTTTTTAAATAATTTATATTAAAAAGAATTGTTTAGTTATGTATTACCAAAATGTTACTTTTATTGATTTTATATAATTTAGTATCGTATTTATAAATATTTTAATGTTATATTAAGTTTATTCTTTTGGTCTTTTACTTTCTATTTTGTTATGTTGTGATATTTCTGTTTTACTCGCAGCTATTTCCCAAAGTAGCCAGATTATACAAATTATAACAGATTATGAATGTGTAACATGTCATCGCATTTTTCAATCAGAAAATGTAAGTTATAATTTTATTTTTATTTATATTTGATATATATATATATACAGAGTATTCTGTAACTGGTGGTGCAAGCGAGCAGGGTAATTCTACATGAAAAACTAAATAAACAATGTAGAATAACATTTTTTCATATAAGGGCTTTGTTTTTAAGAAAAATAAGTTTGCAAATTTGTCAAGTACGCATATACTTGATTTAATTTTAGATCAACTGATTTCAGTATCTTACCCTTGAATATATCAGAAAGCATTTCTGTGCTTCTTTATATATTTACAAACATTTTCATATATGCACATCTTGTAGAAAAAATACTTGAATATAATTTTCTAACTGTAATACTAATTACTAATACTACTGTATAGATGTTAAAGGAACATTTAGATGTCTGCAGAGAAGAAGATGATTCTACAAATATATTAAGAAATCAAGATAACTATGATTCTGAGGATGAAGATGATGCTGATGATCCAGATTACGAATTCAATGATACAAATATTGAAGGTATATTTTAATTATTCCTATAATAATTATTTATATAATATTTATTTGATGATAGTAATTAAATTATTATATCAAGTATATTTTTCGAATACATGATTATATAAATGCAATTTTAGATACTAAAGCTCAAAAAAACAATAATGAAAAACCAACGATCAAACCTGTACTAGATACACAATGCCACTGCTGTGCTGAAGACTTAAAAGTTGCACATAGCGGTGGTGAATTTAAATGTTCAGAATGTGAATTATCATTTAAAAAAAATTCCTCTTTAGAAAGACACAAAATAGTAATACATTGGAAATGTGAGTCTTATGTCTGTAATGACTGTGAGTCAACTTTTCGTGATAAAAAATCATTAAATAAACATCGTTATACTACGCATGTCAACCGCAACATATTCAAGTAAGTATACATAAATTTTATAACCATAACATAATAATATATTTTCCTTTATGTAACTTCTAGATGTGATATCTGTGACACATATTTTTCACGTAATTACCACTTGAAACGTCATAAAATGCAGTCTGGCTGCCATGGAGATATACGTAAAACTTTTGACTGTCAAGTAAGTATACTCATATAACTATTTAATATGATTAAACAAATAATAAAGTAAAAATCTATATAATTGATATAATAATACAATTTTTTTCTCCGCTTGTAGGTTTGTCAAAAAGTTTTCACACGAAAGGATAATCTACGCGAACATTTGCGCACACATGCTGGAGCACCTCAAAGACAGAAAAAACCATGTAAATATTGTTCTAAGGAATTTTTTACTACTCAACAATTAATAATACACGAACGATTACATACTGGAGAAAGACCAGTACAATGTGATTTGTGTACGAAGACATTTTTATCCTCTCTTGCATTAAAAAAACATCGTCGTGTACATACAGGAGAGAAACCATTTGAATGCAAATATGTAAGTACATTTTTTTTAAATAAGCCGTCTCTGTTTATAAAAATATTATTTTATGCTTAACTAAAACGTGAGAATAATTTAACATATTTAGTATACCTAAAAACACATTTTGTATTGTATGAATTACCGCTCATTTACTTTTCTCATTATTTCAACAAGCAAACAATACAAGCTGGATAAATTGAGGTAATCTTTCTTAAAGTAATTCATTAGTAACTCTTAACAGGTGATCTTTAAACTATTTAGTTCGTATGTCTACACATTTAAAAATGTAATTGATTTATATATTTGTGAAAATTATTATTACATTTTCTGTAGTGTCACAGGAAATTTGCGGCTCGTGAAACATTAAATCGTCATCAAAGAACGCATACTGGAGAGAAACCTCATGTTTGCCAATATTGTGGAAAATCATTTATTCAAGCAGCACAATTAAGAGCTCACGTATTTCATCATACTGGTGAAAATGGATTTTATTGTGATATTTGTGGTAAAGCATTTAATAGAAAAGCTCGCTTGAATGTACATAAAAAATTTGTACACGAAGGTGCAACACCATTTACATGTGAAATATGTGAGAAAGGCTTCACCCGAAGAGAAGACTTAGCAAAGCATACATTATTGCACACAGGAATCAAACGTAAGAATAAAAAATTCTATTCGTATAAATAATTTATAAACAGTATACTATGTATCAATTATAACAATTTTGTAGCATTTAAATGTGATAAGTGCTCGAAAGCCTTTTCTGCTAAATCTTCATTACAAGCACATCTCAATACTCATAGACGAGAGCCACCTCAATCGTGCGTTGAATGTAATCGTGTTTTTATAAGACAAGATTGTTTGATGAGACATGTTCGAGCTAAACATAGAGAACTTTTGGAAGATGTAATGGACGAAGTGGAAAGAAAGCATTTACAAGCACAATTATTCAATATTGCTTCCATTGCTGCAGAGAAAACTAAATCAGGAGAATCTAAAGTACTTTCCACTGATGAATTACTAAAAGCAATTTCAGATCTATTAAGGATACTTATTGACGAGGAAACCTTACAGGTATTATCAAATAATTGTGATAAACTGTAATGGAAGTAAACTTAAATGTAATATTATTTAATGATTTTACAGTTATTTGGTTGGCCTAATGCTCCTATTCAAGATATTTTAGAGGCTGTAATTAGACGTTGTGGTCATGAACCTCTAACATCAGATAGTACTTTACTTTTTAATGAAAGGTTAAGAGCCAACGTTAAACTGTTATTTACAGTTGTTATTGAAGATGAAACAGCTAAGTCATTATTAACGACTAAAACGGTAGACCATGTTATTCTTCATGTTTTGGAAATTTCACAAAAATAAAATTGTAATATATATTGTCATGTATTAGATTATTAAGTATGAAATGTTCGATTTCGAGCTGAAAATAATCAGACGTTACATACTTAACGACCTAATTATACGTGAATTTTTGTAATTATATTAAGTAATAATTCTAGTATATATCTGAAGGAAAATTTTCAGATGTCGAATTCGCGAATGTTAGCTGCAGTTTTAATAGAAAAACAATAGTATTATATGTTTAACTTTTGTTAGTATAATTGCTAACTTGTCACTGCTATTGTAATTTAATTAAGCCTTAAGTACTTCTTTTACGAATATATTTTATTAAGAGTAACGTAAATACTCGATATTAAGTGCATATTATTTAATGGGTAAAAGGAGTGATACAACAATTATTATTAAACTCTGTAATCATGTTATAATCATGTTATATATTTCGTGCTATATATATATGTGCCTACAATAGTATAAAATGATTAATAATTAATGCTCTTTATATAAAATATTTTGTCTCGTAAGTTTATATAATGATACCTCAGTTTGCGAACATAATTCGTTCCTAAAATGTGCTTGTAATACTAAATATCAGTTTTTTTTTTAATCTAGTAAGTCTTTTTCTCTGTACCTGTTCCAAGACAATCGTTCTTAACGAGTAAACTCCTTTAATTAATAATTAAAACAAAATATCTATATTAGATTTCTAATTGTTGTTTGTTATTAAATGTATATAAAATATAATTACACATTCACTTTATGTAGACAACTTAATATTAAAAGTTACTAGGAAATAAGAAAGTTTAAAATATATTGAAATTCTAGTAACATAGCTAAGCCGATATCGGTAATAGTAGTGCTCTACCTTTATCTTACCGACCGAGATCTGATGGTAACTTACCATCAGAATTACCGACAGTAAAAAATTTTCACCGCAAAAAGAAAAGGATAATTACTCTTATTGGAGCTAAAAAGACCAGAGAAAAACGGACAAACAAAAAATCAGCAATTGATTGAAAACAAAAAACAATAAAACACCTCATTGCTTTGCTTAGAAATAAGAAGAAATGTTTTTGTTTTTTTAATTATTAATAACTAATTAAATAAGTAATTGATAAAGTGTGCAATTATAGATTTTAAATGTGCAATTAATGTCCAAATAATTTATTCATTTTTTAATGTCCAATAATTTATTAATTTTTTTCTGCTGTTAAGGTTCCTTGCCAGCGTTCCTTTGGTTTGATACAGTTATATAAGTATATATAGTAATGTCGATAGGTGGGGTTTAACAATCAATGCATGATTTACTGATAGAATCAACGCTCTCTTTACGTACATAAGGTTAATGTGTAAATATATATTAATGTTTAATTATTTATGATAATCAAGAAAAATTCTTAAAAATGGAAAATGACGAAGTTCTGAATATTTGCGTACCAGGTAAATGAATCTTTGTTTAATTTATGTGTGAAAATACTTAATTCTTTATTATTTAGTATAAAATTATGTATGATTATTTTTTTAGGACAAAGATTGTGTGCTTCCAGTGAAACTATTGTATCAGGAGCTGGAACATATGAAGAACAAGGTTATATTTATTCTACATTAGCTGGTATTTTTGAAACTACTACGAAAGATAATGTATATATGAAAATTAATTGATATTATTTTTTTGTTTTATTGTATAAACATTAAAATTTCTGTTATTTTTTTAAGATAATTACTATCAAGGTGAATGCTATTACTGATCAAAGTATAGTACCAGCACCAGGTGATATTGTTACTGCAATGGTTACCGTTGTTAATCAAAGATTTTGCAAATGTAATATTAAATGTATAGGCGACGTAGTCTTAACAAGACGATACAAAGGAATTTTAAGAAAAGAGGATGTACGTGCTATTGACAGAGATAGAGTGGAAATGTATAAATCTTACAGACCTGGAGATATAATTCTTGCAAGAGTTGTATCCTTTGAACAAAAATATTTACATTTTTGACTATAATAGAGAAGTAAATCTAATGTTTTTCTTATAAATTAATTAGTTACCAATGACAGAAGCACATACTTATCATCTAAGTACAGCTGAGAATGAATTAGGAGTAGTAATAGCTCATAGCGAAGAAGGTAACTTAACTATTTTATATTTCCACCAAAAAATATTTATTTTAATATTCTAAATAAATTTTCTTATATACTTCTAGGTGTTGCAATGATACCGATAAGTTGGACTCAAATGCAATGTCCAAAGACATTATGCAAAGAATTTAGAAAAGTTGCTAAAGTTGTACCCGAACATGTTATTACTGAACGATAAAATAAACTTTATTAATCATCTAAGTTTAAAACATTTTTGTTTATATTCTATTCTTAATAAATAATAATAAATAGACAAAAAATTATAAAAACTGTTGGATAAAGTTTACAAATGCAAATTTTTCAAATTAATAAAATTTAATTTTAAAAAGTTGGTAAAATTACAATCTTTTCTTATTTCAAAAACTATATTGAGAAATACATATGTAACATATTTGTAAAGTGAACTTGGTTTAAGTATGATTAAATAGCGAAAACGTCCATCTTAAAGTTTTTATTGGTGTTCATTTAGTGATGTGTGTATATGATTATA